AAATCCGAGGTTTTAACAAAAAATGCGTGCGCGAAGGGCCGCGTTCAAGAGTAAAGTGCCCTTTATATCGTTGTGCTGACGAAACCGACGGTTGTGCCAACTTGTGCTAGGCTAGCACAACTCAGATATGCAGTATTATGAATATCCAATAATTACAAATCCGAGTTTTTAACAAAAAATGCGTGCGCGAAGGGCCGCGATCAAGAGTAAAGTACCCTTCATATCGTTCTGCTGACGAAACCGTCGATTGTGCCGATTTGTGCTAAGCGAATATATATTAGATATGCATTTGCATACTCTTTAGATGACTGATATAAGAATAAATGTCATTTATATATTTTTTTTCCCAAATCTATTTTTTATCATAACTTCTATTGTTATTATTTTTTAAAGATAATATTTTGGCACAATGTTAGCACAACCTAGCACAACCTAGCACAATCGAGAAAATTAAAAAAATCGCAAAGTGGGGGGCTAGCCTAAAATGTCGTTTTTTTTCATTTTTTATGACATTTTTCACATTACGGTTTTAAAATTCGAGCACAATGTAGCACAAACCTAGCACAATTCAGCACAACTCTCAAAATAAGTTATTTCTAAAAGTGGGGGGCTAACTTCTAATAGGTTCGTTTACCTGCTTATAAAAAAGTAATCATGATTGAATAATTGACGACACACCTGTTGACTCCCATTCAACTGATAATTCTGGGCAGTCTGGGCAGGCTGTGTATAGTGAGGTATCACGCTCTGGCTAGCCGAAGTCAGGTACGTGGTCGAGGCCGGATGCTGCTGCTGTTGTTGCGGCTGTTGTGGTTGTTGCTGTTGCTGAAGCGGCTGTTGATACGTTTGCGTGTGTGGATAGCTCTCCTGGTACTGATTGCTTGTGAAATGTGAGGTGTGCGTTTGTTGCTGTTTCTGTTGGGATGGTAGAGCGCTTTGAGAATGAGAACTCGACATTTCGTGCTGCGACTGTTGTTGCTGTTGATATTGTTGAATTTTCTGTTGGAAAGCAGGCTGCGACTGACTGCTGGAGAGTGACGGCGCCGGCGGTATCGGTTCACTGTAGTGATATGGTGGTCCGTTCGGCGTCAGTGGAGGACAACCAGGCATCATCGGCGTTAATGGCATTGGTGAACCTGCGTACTGTTCAAATAGATTTTATCAATAATCAGCAAATACATTCGGAAAGAAAATGTGCTTACATAGATTGTAATAAGAAAGATTTTTGAAATAATAGCAAGAAAATCTATCTTTGATGAATAGAAGTGTAAATTATTAAAATCATAATTAAAAGAAAAACTTGTTTTCTATTTCAAACAAATAATTGATTTGAAGCATTAAAAAATATTATCAATAATTAGCCAGATATTTAAAAAAAATTTTTTAATTGGTATTAATTTCTTTCTATTTTCCATATTAATTAAATAGGATTAATGGTAACTATATATAACATTGTGTAATATTATATAACATTATGTAAATGAATTACGTACATGACCCATCTGAGTAGACATCCCGAGGTTGAGGGCGTGCGGATGAGGCGGATGATGCTGGCCGAGATTGGGAAGATTCTCCGAGCTGGACCTGAGGATTCCCTGCGTAGCCAAGGGTTGTTGCGTGGTTATCGCGCCCCGCGCATGGTCCAATTCGTGCAACATTCCTCTAACACTAAATTTATTTTCATCAATAATTAATTCATTCGATTCACTTACAAGTCGCAATAAATCACAAACTACAAAGTAAACGGCTTTAATGTACTTAAATGTAAAAGGAACGACAGCAGCTATGTCATCCTAACGATGAAAACTCGTTTCAATCAACATACCTATTATCCTGCTCGATCTTGGCGATGATTCTATCGATCTCGGAGCCGGCTGGTGGCCAAGTGGATGTCGGGATACTCGTGGACGTGACATGCCCCGCGACCGGTCCTCTGCTACGCGCACGTCTCAGACTAGTCAGCTCCAGCGACAGTTCCTCGTGTTTCACCATCTGCAACTCGGTCTTCTTCTCAAGCTCCCGGATCTTCGATTGCAACGCCTCGATCGATTCCGGGCCCTGATAGCGTCCTGCTATCTTCTCCCGCAACTGGTTCTGTGCGTCCGCATGCTGCCTCTCCAGCTCCGCTCGCCGGGCTTCCGTCTCCCGCATTTGCTAAAAGAAATCAATCGTATAATTAGCGTTCTAAATAAACTCGTCCGAGAGACACCCATTTTAGCCCTCGATCAACGTTCCGCGATAACATGTCGTTCCGTGCGATACGACAGCGATTTTTGTTGAGGTTGCACCGACATCTCGATTAATAGTAGCTATTTTTACAGATGATTTATCATCCCGAATCACGCAGTGAAATCTTATGCAATTTTTATAAACACTTAATGCTAAAAATATAATCTAATTGCAATGTACATTGCACGCTGTGCTGTACTGTATTGAAGTAATTTTAAAATGGTTTCATATTATACTGCAAAAGTCAACGTGTCGTTTAAATATAAAGCTTCAAATAAAATGAAAAAAATAGCACGTACGAGTGGACAAATTGAAAAAGAATCAAAAGGTCAATAAACGAGCAAAACGAGATGTAAAGTATAATAAATGTATGTATTTCTCAATCTATGCTAAGACAGAACGTTTCGAATGTTATCGAATTCTCTTTAGATTAATATAATAAAATACAAAGTCTAATAAATATACTTTAGAAACTTAATAGAAGGAAACTTTTACGAGACTTAATATAATTTCGTAATTATTTAATAATAAAGTTTCTCAGAAAGTAACGGATAAAGAAAAAAATTGGTTCGAGTTTTGCAATTGCCAGTTTTCAGTCTAGTAACTTGAAGCGACATCCTACTGGATATGCGACAAGAATGTCACGTTTGTAATGAGGAAAGGTGCTTTTGTGCTGAGATTGCCCGAAGGTGCGCGCAATTAATCTCACTATATATAATCCAGCTGTGTAAAAAAAATCCTCTCGTGAGAAAAACGGTATCGAAAAAAAAAAAAAATAAGAGTATACTGACAGATCACGTTCTCTTCGACATCTCCTCTTTAACAGCTATTTTATAATTTAGTCGGCAATTACACCGCGGTGTCGATCGCTTTACAATCTGTAAAATTACTTAGCACCACGCGCAATTAATTGCTCAAGTGCCTCAATTGCCGGTAGATTGAACTTCTGTCGCGAGTCAGTATTAATTTTCCGGTGTACAAGAGACATAAATTTCACCTGTTAACAAAGTTTAAGCGGTCTATTTTACGCGCGGCGAAGCCGCGAATTAAAGTTCCCTTCGGAACGAGCAATCATTACCGGAACGCATTAATAAAAACTTTTGTTTTTCATATTACGTGTGCTTTATCGAGTATCCGCGAGCGCGGCGCCGGGAGTGAAAGAGAGCTTTTCACGGTTCATTGTCGATGGTTTACAACACCAAGTTCGTAACTTCCGCGCGTACACGTGTGTATGTGTGTACATGTGCGCGTATTGATTACATGCATATTACCTTTCCACATAATCTGTTTAATTTCAAGGACTTTCGATTCGCGACAAAGCGCACGCACATATTTCGCGAATCCGTTCATTTCGTCGTTTGACAATCGCTAATTTTTGGCAACCGCAAAATACGTCCCACCGCTTCGATGAAGAGATTCTTTTTACAAATTTAAAATAACTTAACTTTTTCCTAGAAAACAAAAAAATTAATAAAACGAGAAATGAAAAAAAAAAAATTTTAATATTTTATATATATTTTATCATCTTAGATATTTAATCACAAATTACAAGTTACAGTACTTTTTGAAATAAATGTAAGAAAAATAAATTATACCATATAATAAATAAGTTAAGAAAATAAAATTTTAATCGAAATAAATATGTGCCAAATTATATATTTTTATATTCGTCGCAATCTATTCGTGATGCGAGTTTAATGTAACACTCACCTCCAGGATGGATTCGAGAACTGCGTCCTGCATGATAGTGGTTCTCGTGGAGGTGGTAGCCCCGACAGCGGATCCGGTACCCTGCAGCTGCGGAGCCTGAGGTGCCGTGGAAGCGCCACCTCCAACACCACAGCACTGCAACATCCCTGAAGTCTGAGACCCTCGCCAGTCTTTATCGCGGCCGGTCCCTATCGATCTAGCGTGTGTGTCTAGGAGCTATCTTAATTAATTGGGCGGCCTTTGCGCGGCCCGCCGAGCCGCGCCGCGCACCGCACGACGATCCCACACACCGCCTAACAGTGCAACTCTATTGCAGCGCAAAAGGGAATTCTTATTTCTCTCGGCACGTGCGTGTACCCCGCCTTGGGAACGAGCCGGGACTTGTTCTCGTAGCTCTCTCGGGAAACGGGGGGACCTCGCGTTTAGGGGGAACCAGCGTTCTTTCGCATCGGATCGGCTGATTCGTAGTTAGATATGGGGTCATCCTACGAGAAAACGCACGTATGCAAAAAGATTTTTTAATTCGTTAGAGGGTGGCGGTCTCGCCACGATTTTACATTTTCAGATTCAAAAAAAAATGAGATGAATATTCAATAAATGAAATTATCGACGTGATCGTTAATTACAAGTCTTTGGCGGAATGCGAGGAATGTACGTCGTGGCCGAAATTAGGCACAAATTAGGTTGCACTGAATTGGTCTTTTATTTGATAAATTTATTCTTGTTTTCAGACCAAGTTTTTATCTCTTTAATTCATTATAAGCACTGCGATCTTTTTCCTCGATCAGAATTCTTACAAATTTTGGAAAAGTGAAAGCGGGAAAAGTTGCTTATGCTAAATCATATGTCGTCGAGATAAGAAAAGCTCTTTCCCGCTTCGATTCCGTTCGCATCAAATAAAGGACTCGATTCAACTCTCTTGCGCGTTAAAGGCTGTGCCGGCCGCTAAATTCAATTCAAGGGTTTCTCGTTAAATGAGAAAGTCAATCGGCGCGATTATTGGCAACAGGTATTCGCGCGAGGGACTCGATCGAGTTTGTAATCTGCCTGTAGAAATCCTCGCTCCGGTTTGCGACTTTGTGGTCGACGATCGCTCGTCGCTGGCGCCCACAATGAGCCCAACCGACCGCGAACACGTATTTTAACACCGACGGCACAGCGAAGGGAGTATTAATTTGCTGCAACGCGCGAGTTATACAGCTTGCGCGATATTTCGTGTTGCAACGCGCGTCGCGTGCGGCCAAGTGCGGCTCGATGGCGGTTTTCACGCGAAAAGTTGCCGCGATTGAGACCCACACACTCACACATACGCAAAGAACGCACACGCCGCATTCGTCACAGGAGATCCCCGTTAAAACGTGTACGAGTGACATGTGCCTCGCTCGAAGGTTCAGCTACCGATTTACGCGCATCGCGGAGTAATTCACACCCTCGCCTGCTGCCTTACCTCTGCGTCTGTGCACCGAGATGAAGGTGCGGTTAACCTTCTCCTTTCTTCCGTGCCTTCTACCCTCCAATCACCCGAGATCAAATGATTTTTTTTTTTCAATTATCAGTCATCTATCCGCGTGCGAGAGAAGAAAAAAAGTACAATCAGCATGTTTTACCCTGCACAAGAACTGAGTGAGACGTATATTTTATGTACGTTTTCTAAAATCATATTAAAGAGAAATGCTTGTTAAAAAAATATATATCATTGTAAAAGATATATATCATTGTAAAAGACATTGAAAAAGTTAAAATATCTGTATTACAAACTCAAACATTTGTTCTCGACGAAATTACAATAAATGCGGTAACTGACGTAAGAGCGGATGTAATGTATTGTAAAAATCATGCACGCACTGTGTAATTAACAGTGAAATACAGAGAGAAAATCGTCTCACTAGTCGCAGTCTCTCATTTTTCCTTTTCTTTCATCACCTATCTATTAACGTGATTTAATAGCAACTCTCCTGAGTACGCCTCCATCCCCTGATACTATTTAATTGCTGCACATGCTCTCGCTCTTTGTTTCTCTTTCTCCCGACACTAGCGAACACAGTGAAAGTGACGATCCGGAAATTATCCGCTTTTCTGCCACGCAAGTTCACGAACGCGTTGGCGAACAATCATCCCCGTTACAATGTGTGTCGACAGAAACAAAGTGCGATAAATCAAATCGCGATACGAGTTGAAGAATCACACACACACACACACACACACACACACACACACACACACACACACACACACACACAT